TAAAACATTATTGCATATGTGAGCAGATTGCCTAAATAAATGTCTTCATATATGCAAGGAGTGTCCAAGGATTTTGGGTACGGATACAAATATGGATATGTGTTGGGTACGTGGATGGGTACGGCTAGGTGACATATGTCATAACAACTATTCCCTCATACTTTCATAATCCTGACCAGATTATCTGGTGGATTTTTCGGGAGGGCTAAAAGCCGTGCAGAGTCAGGGGCAAGATAGAAACTTGGCTACCTTCCAGGAAAATTCAAAAGTCAATCCTTCTTCAAACCAAATCACAAAACCAAACTGAAAATTCGTTCTATTGAAATTGATCTAACTTTGGACTATGTTCCTTGTTTTTGCATCAAATAGGTAAAACATGGATGTCCAATGTTAGCATTTTGTTTAGATCCATGGCCTAAAGCATTTAAAACCTTGTAAGGCCTTATTTAAAAAAAAATCTCTAGATCATGGTCAAGTTGTGAATTCTCAATATGTATGCCACAACAAGCACACATGGGGCGGGTAGGGGTGTTGGGGGAGGACTTGAGTAATACTAAAATTGATGGCCAAAAAAAGTCATGCTGCTTGCTCCTGGAGTATTCATAAAAGAAAAAACTAAGACCTTAGCCAAAAGAACTATTAAATATTCATGATATTGAACAAATTTCACATTTTTATTCAGTTATAATTATAAAAGAATTTTCTCTAAAAAACATTTGATTTTTTAAAGAGGATATGGCTTAGTACAGATCTTTTGATCAGCATTTTTAGTATATGTGGTTTAATGATTAATGTATTCTCTATTTCTTTGCCAACCTTAGTTTGAGAAAAAATATATCAAATTTTCCAAGCAACAAGATAGGTCTTGCGCATAACCACTTTTCAACAAAGCTAGAAAGTATTAATTCTCTAAAAAAGGAAAAATAACAACAAACGAAGTGTTTTATTGTGAATCACTGTTCCAAAGCTCAGAAATTAAAGGAAAATGTATAAACAATTAATTCAAAGAATTTTAAAAGGCGTTTTAGTTACTAACTTTAAGTAGTTAAACAAGAAAATTCACCTTAGAATCACCACTCACAGTATTTGATGGAAAAGCATGGTTGATGTGAAAAGATAATAACAGGACATCAAGGTTGTAAGATTTACAAATTAAGAACGATCAGTTATTATTTAAGATGATAGCTAGTAGATTTAAAAGCTTATCTTAAAGGTTTTATAAATATATTGTACAGTTAAAACATTAGAATTAGAAAGAATTCAAATAAGAATAGATAAAAATCACATTAAAGTAAGACTAATATAAAAATACTGGGTTTTTTTTTACTTCCCATATTATGTAGTTAAGGATTTATTTTACTGAATTAAAAGGGATAAATTAATAAGAGGGTTCTGTGACATTAGTTTAAATAGTATGGGCATAACCTTAAATTTCCAGCAACTTTCTGGGGTGTTTGATTATGGTTGTTGGAGGCGCAGAGGGATGCACACCTGCTTTCTCCATCTCAGGATCTTAATGCATGCTACTTTCCACCATCCACCTTTGTGTACATGATACACAAACTAGGGTATTCAGCTTCATATTATTTTGAATTTAAACAATCTAATGACATAGATAAACTTGAATCAGATGGTATTTCAATTAGGATGAACCCTTTCTACACGACTCAATGTTATCCATCTATCTCCATAGTTGCATATCGGGCATATAATTTCCCAGCTGGATGGGCTTCTAAACTTCCCAAAAACCGTGATTCAAGGGTTGGATGTAAAAGGTTTCACATTTCAGTTTCAGCCTCGCCGAATTGGCGCCCCTAATTTTAGATGAGATTAAAATTTGGATATTATGAAGATAAGAATTTATGCACCTTAACTGTGTTATCTGTAACGACAAATTGTTCACCCAAAAAAATTGTAAATGCATACCTTAACATATTCAACATATGGCAGTGAAAGATGTCGGCCAAACTGCAAAAGGATAAAAAACCTCAGTAGTCGCAATCTCCCACTTCCTTGGACCAATAGCAAATCCAGGGTATTATCATCATGCTTAGCTTTCGGAGCAACAACCTGAGAACTTAAACTCTGAACAGTCTTGCATGAATGGTTGCATACTAGAACACCCAGAAATGTTCCCTTCTTAACAACCCACTTATCCTCTAATTTGGGGACGAGCTCCTCAGTTGTTCCTTGCTCTATGTCATCTGGTGGTCCTGGAAGTTGAATAGGGTTCTCTGTTTCCCAGTTACGCTCAGTGTCCCAATTTGGCTCTGTATCCCACTTAGGCTCAGCATCCCAGATTGGGCCAGGATCAGAGATTGTTGAGGAAATATCTTCTCTATCATTTGTTCCTGTGGCTGCCCATGATGACCTTGAATCATTTACAGTATTTACGCCGGTCCAACCTTTGTCTGTCCGAGACTTTGATCTGGTCCTCGGCCAGTTCGGAGTGGCTGATAAGGGAGGTTGCGGGTGAATAACTTCTTCTGTGTCTGGCACTAGATTACTCCTTCCCAAAGATAGACGTTTTGATTTAGGATCACGGCAACGAACAAACTCAGATGGTTCACTGTTCGCCAGTGTACTACTAGTTGTGTCCAAGTCACCAGACATTCTTGAAGGAGTCATAATTGAATCAATACTGGATAAACTGGAAGCCCTGGGAAGGCCTTCTCTTCGTGACCTACTCATTATGTCTGTATAGAGGTCAGACATATCAATCTTATCATGATCTTCCATAAGCTTTTGATCACTTAATACCTCTTCTGACATTGGAAGATACTCTAATTCAAACTTGTACTTAGGCAAGCACAGAAACTTAAGAAACCCAGCAACAAAATAGCGAAGAGGGCCAAAGCGTTTCTGGTATTTCTCAGAAAGCTCCAAGACTGCAGTATTAAGACAAATATTAACTTCAAAGTGTTAATATATATGCAGGTATTATATGCTACAACAAACATATAAAAAACATACACATTAATGGGACAATTATCAATCAATGATAATAATTTTTATGAGAACTCTACAATTAGCAATCTCATAGACTGAGGCGCAGCGACATGGGGGCAAAAGAGGCCTTAGATCCCCCTTGAAAAATTAAAGTTACAAGGGAGGAGGTAATTGGTTTATATGCAAGATCCAACGACCAAAGGGAGGAGTTAATTGGTTTATATGCAAGATCCAACGACCAAAGGGAGGAGTTAATTGGTTTATGATCCAAGGACCTAGTCTAAATAGATGCAAGTATGTAAGATCCTAGGAGGTCGCCTAAAAATATAAATATGTTAAATTACAGGGGAGACGATAAGTTTGAGACTTTTACTTCTCAATTGGTTGATTAGCAAGTACCTTCCATTCTTTTGTCTCTCATTTTTTGAAGACTATCTCTTGGTCTTGACTCTTGATGTTATTAGATTTCCCATTTTCATCACAAACGTTATTGCTCTTTTTAGAACATGTTCAATGAATTAACTGATCTGTAACATATTGTGAACAAAATGTAAACCAAAACCCAATCCTCATGGCTTATGGGATGTTTATTGTGAATTTGTGGAGACAAATCCTAGAATGTGGATAATCTTTAGACGTTCAAATTCAAGTTTCAGATTATCTCTTGGTCATGAAGTTATAAGATCCTAAGTTAACACAACTAAGAAAAAAATAGCCACAATATTATCCAAAAGTCCCAATAAGGATTATTTGCATCAAAAGAATGTGGATATTTGCATCAAAACATTATTATACATCATTATTACATATTAGTATTATATTATTATAAAATTACTTTATATTATTTGGTATATATCTTATTAGTTAGAATAAAAATATAATTGTAGTATTTTTATAATATAAAATATTGCATCATAATTTAGTGCTTATATATTTAATATAATAATATATTAATTATATTATAATAAAATTTAATATGATAATATATTCTATTATATAAAATATTTTAAATAATATAATAATTTATCATTTTCTATTAATAATATAAAATTATAAATAATATTATATTGTATAAACTAAAGATATTATAACACTTACATTTATATTAAATTAAATATTATATTATTGAAATACTATAATAAATATATTGTTCATCTATTACATCAATTATTATATAATATATCATATTAATATAATATAATATAGTATATTAATTAATAACATTAAACATAGTTACGATTAATTAGTAATTATAAAATGACATATTATATTTTAGTATAAAGTAAAATAATGTATTATAATATAATAAAATACTAAAACATATACTAAACCAATTGGATAAATTAATTCAGACTTAACTGATACATAAATATTATATTTTCTTAAGATGCCACATTATCAATTATCCTACTTGAATTGTCAAATCAAAGCTTCAAAATGTCTCATTATCCCAACTTGCCTTGGTTTACCCCACTCAAAATTTTCCAAAGGGATAAAATTATTCCATTAGAACAATTATCCCACTTGGCCCAACTTGTCTCAACCAATAAACCCCCCCCCCCCCCCCCCAAAAATAATTNTAAAACATTATTGCATATGTGAGCAGATTGCCTAAATAAATGTCTTCATATATGCAAGGAGTGTCCAAGGATTTTGGGTACGGATACAAATATGGATATGTGTTGGGTACGTGGATGGGTACGGCTAGGTGACATATGTCATAACAACTATTCCCTCATACTTTCATAATCCTGACCAGATTATCTGGTGGATTTTTCGGGAGGGCTAAAAGCCGTGCAGAGTCAGGGGCAAGATAGAAACTTGGCTACCTTCCAGGAAAATTCAAAAGTCAATCCTTCTTCAAACCAAATCACAAAACCAAACTGAAAATTCGTTCTATTGAAATTGATCTAACTTTGGACTATGTTCCTTGTTTTTGCATCAAATAGGTAAAACATGGATGTCCAATGTTAGCATTTTGTTTAGATCCATGGCCTAAAGCATTTAAAACCTTGTAAGGCCTTATTTAAAAAAAAATCTCTAGATCATGGTCAAGTTGTGAATTCTCAATATGTATGCCACAACAAGCACACATGGAAAAAAAAATCTCTAGATCATGGTCAAGTTGTGAATTCTCAATATGTATGCCACAACAAGCACACATGGGGCGGGTAGGGGTGTTGGGGGAGGACTTGAGTAATACTAAAATTGATGGCCAAAAAAAGTCATGCATGGGGCGGGTAGGGGTGTTGGGGGAGGACTTGAGTAATACTAAAATTGATGGCCAAAAAAAGTCATGATGCTTGCTCCTGGAGTATTCATAAAAGAAAAAACTAAGACCTTAGCCAAAAGAACTATTAAATATTCATGATATTTAAGAAATTTCACATTTTTATTCAGTTATAATTATAAAAGAATTTTCTCTAAAAAACATTTGATTTTTTAAAGAGGATAGGGCTTAGTACAGATCTTTTGATCAGCATTTTTAGTATATGTGGTTTAATGATTAATGTATTCTCTATTTCTTTGCCAACCTTAGTTTGAGAAAAAATGGACAAATTTTCAAAACCAACCTTTTTTATTTTTTATTTGTAAAAAACGACCCATTTTCAAAATATTTGTAAAAACCGACCTGGTTTCAGCCTCAGCGAAACTTTTTTTCAAAAACCGACCTGGTTTCAGCGCTGAGGCTGAAACCAGGTCGGTTTTTGCAAATAAAACTGAAATAGGTCGTTTTTTACAAATAAAAAACCAAAAGGGTTGGTTTTGAAAATTTGTCCGAGAAAAAATATATCAAATTTTCCAAGCAACAAGATAGGTCTTGCATAAACACTAAGCGTGAAGAATGTGTATCAAATATATGAAGTTACCGTCACTGAGAAAACCAAAATATGAAACTGTTGTTCCATAGTGAATAATCCCAGACTGGATCCATTCTGCAGCAAAAACATCAGTAGCAGTGAGACCGCCCTGGACCGAAACCAGATTGTCAGTACTGGGAAAATAAGAAATAGGAAGCTTTTCCAAGTAAAGGATGATATTACCAATAAGCTACTACTATGAGAAATAGCATCTATCGCCAGCCATGAAAGAAAGCTAACAGTTAGATAAGCATCAACTGAAAATCCTGAGCTAAGGGGTTGTCGCAACATCATACATCAACGAACACTAAGGTTTATTTGACGTGGAAATCCTCCAGAAAAGATATGAGACTAAGGAGTAAGACTGGAAAATTTTTCTGCTCTCTTTCCGTTTTACTTAACTTCTGTAATCTCGCCAAATCTGGATACAGATATGCCTACAGTATGTACGTGGTGAGCTACAGATCGGATCAGTTTTGGCGGATATCAAGGTCAGGAATCGACAGAGGTTTTACCTAGAGTTAGAATCAAGCTTTGTTCCAGTTAAGAAAGTTGATGGCAGGAATCTTCTGAGGTATTTTTAATGAATTTTCGAAGAAAGTTGGAAAAATGGTGATTAAGTGGGTAATTAGTGGTTAATGATGGGCTGTGCAAAATGGCTATAAGGCTTTGTCTATTGTCTCCATAAACCCTAAACCCTAAATGAGAAAGGAGATATAAAAGAAAAGAAAAAGGATGAAAAATGTAGAAAAAATAAAGAGAGAAGAAAGAAGATGATGGCCATGGTGGTACGAGCTTGAGAAGAGGATAACTATTGGAGCAAGTCTCAAGAGCCATTAAAGCTAAGTTTCCCTCTCATTTTCATTTCCAATCTCTAATCCAAATGTAGATCCTCCCTTTATAATCCCTCTTACATTGTTTATGATTCTAGATCTAAAAGGGGATGAAACCCCAGTAAACTCAAGTGGAGATCTTAATGGAATTATCATAAATCCAAGGTGAGCATCTCTCCTTTGTATCCAACTTTTTGTTCCCATTTATCTCATTGCATCTATCTGTGTATGGTTTAATTTGAATGGTTGATAAAATCAATGTAGTTTTCCCAAGTAAATCTAACTTTTTGTGTGGATTTGTGTGGAATCTCATAAATGGTATGGGTTTCTCTTAGTTATTGTTAAAATTCATGTTTTTCTAGCTAAGTGAATGATTTTGTGCTGTGGTGTATTTTGCTTAAGCTCTTATGTGTTTCTTGTAGATCTAGTTAAAAGTTAAAACCAGTCACATTTTCTCTAACTATATGAATGCTGAATGATTTCACAAAATGGGTGTTCATTACATTTTGGTTTTGATTGAATAAAAACAAATTTTTATATCAAATCTTGATGAGCAAGAAAAGCTGAAAATTGTCTATCAGTGTTCAATTGGGCCCATTTGAATCTCCTGGAAACCAAACATAAAAGTGGATTCTCTAGAGTTGGCAGATCGTTTTGAACCGAGTCCAGTCGAACACAGTCAACGTGTTTAGATGAGCTCCACCGAGTCCGATTGAGACTGGTGTTGAAGGTGATTAGGTGACGTCTGAGCCCAAATTCTACTGAACCATTAGTGTATTTTGCAAAAAAAAATTCACTTGTATTGATTTTTTAACTTTTTACCAACAGAGTTTATTTCTATTTGGAACAACTTTGTTGTAATAAAAGAAAAGTAAATATGAGAGTTTATGTATATACGCAGACGTTTGATCAATTCTCACCGCTTTGCGGTAAATGTTGTTTTCTTATAGTTCGGCTAAGCTTTGAGTTTGATATTTGTAGTGGAAATGGTTATTTGGCGTATATCGAATGTATGTAGCCATCTTAGCATGGTATCACATGGCTTAGAAATAAAATAAGATAGTGACCCATCATTGTCATACATGAACAAGGAGTTCTCTATAACTTGATTTAAAAAATGCATCGCACGTCATGGTTTTCATCCCGACATCTAAATAGGATGTGAGAACAATGCTATTATTTCGGACATTATTACCTCATATGGAATTAGGGAGAGGAAAGTATTTGTGTTATTGGATATCATCTATTCAAAAATCGTATTCTTTAAAAAGTTGTCACACCCCATGCGCGCGAGCCAATTGGCACGATGTAAGCTAGGGGACCCACCGAGTATAGCGCATTGTTTGGATCAAATAACTACCAAAAGTTGACTAATAGATGCTACACTTCAGTTTTTGGCTTTTATAATATAAACCACTCAAAGTCACTCTCCTACCGATTGGGGACTAAACTCTTTGGCATCACAAGCAACTCACTTTAAATACGCGACGCCTTGTTTGCATATCACAGTATCAACGCTAGGCGATGTGGACTCTAGAGGTGGCTCATTGGGCTCTAGAGATGGCTCCCATCGTGTTCACATAGTATAGCACTTAGCTCCACACTTCCGGCTGGCTAACTGCTATGATACCATTTGTCATAATGCCCCCGACCCGCGAGCCCATTGACGCAATGTAAGTCCTAGGACCCACTAAAAGCAACTCATTATTTGGCTAAATCCACTATCAAAAAGTGCTAGCGCTTGTTTCTCTTGAGTCCTTTAGATATCCTATGAGCACTTGAACACTTCAAATTCCCCATCATTTCTGATGTGGAACTATTCTTAGGGTATTATAATTACCCCCACCTTACAAAGGCTACGTTCTCATCGCAACATGACAGTTGGCACATCCCAGTATCATCATCAAGCGATGTGAACTCTAGATAAGGCTCCTACAGGCTTTAGAGATGTCTCCCAACACACTCATGCAATGTAGCACTTAGCTTCATAATTCTAACTGGTTGATTACTCTCATATCATTTTTCATGCTAGGCCCCACAGTGTAGCACATTGTTTGGCTGAAATCACTATCAAATTCGACTAGCTGATGCTATACTTGAGTCTTTGGCTTTACTATACAAACCATTCAAAGTCTTACTCTCATACCGACGTGGGACTTAACTATTGGGCATCACATTGTGTCTCATAACCTTGGGAACTACGGATTTCGTGAGGCTTCCTATTACAAGATCATGTGGATTTACCATGTTTGGGTTAACGAATACGAAATATATTTTCCTTTGGAATTTCAAACATGTAAGGGCGGAAGGGTATTGGCGCTATGACTAGACTGAGGCGGATACTAACAAAGGAATGTCATTTATGAGTCGAAATATTTGGGATCAATGCACAAGCATGTTCCACCACCAAATAAAATGACATCACGTGGGTAATTAAGGGGAAACCGTATTGAGGATGTGTACACTACTCGGAAAGACGTGTGGTGATTTTTGGAAGTCGTGGATCATGATGCTATTCATCATGTTTGCGTATGCCCGAGCCTATTAGAGGGGGTCCTTGTACTACAAACATCATACTCAATCATTTTCAAATAACTTATATGATGTATTAGGGGGAGTACTGAGCAGTTGGCTATCAAGTGGATAGAGATATTTCTTGAAGGTGAATCCCCTCACAAGTGTGCTTCTATAGACGTGAAGAGAAAGACGACTTTAGGATATATGTTGAATGTTTGTTTTGTTTTTTCTATATTTATGCTTTATGGATCTATATTGTTTTATTTTTCCATATTTATGTTTTATGGTTCTAACGTTTTCATGGAATTCGCTTTAGCACTAAATTTGCCTAATCGATGGGTATCAAATCTGATCAAGCACCATAAATAGCTTATTGCAAGAAATATGCAATTTTTAAACAACAAAAACATTAACAATAACAAATATATCATAGATGTTTTCTCAAGAAGGATTGAACCCAAGCCTTTGCATGTGTGCTTCTATAATATGTCATAATAACCATTGTTTTAAATATCGGCCGATAATCTATATTATCGGCCGAGTTATCGGATTTTTTAGCTCTCCACTAGGATAAGTTAGTTTTGTAATCGGTTATCATTTTGGAGAGATTATCGGCGAGTTATCGGCATTATCGACATTTATCGGCCGATAAGTAAGGCTAAATTATCGGGATTATCGGGACTATCGGTCAGGCATTTTGAGTTGAGTTGAGTTTTTAAAACCCGACCCGACCCATTTTGTTAATAATATGAAACTTAAAACCCGAAACTTTGTGAATCCAACCTTCAAACCCTAACTTCGTCTCTGGCGGCTGCTCTTTTTCTTGTTGGGCGCTTCCTCCGTTATCTTCATCTCATGTTCTCTGCGCCTCTTCGTCACTCGCCTTCGTGAACTTCAACCTTGAACTTCGTCGCTCGCCTACCCTCTGTCAACCATGTTTTTTGTCCGGAAACATGGCTATATACACATGTTGTGAGCTTTCCTTCTCTTGTAATTCCTTCACGCACACACTTTCTCTTTTGAGTAATATCAGTTCTATAACTATTCTTTTATCATACTTTTCTTTTTTGTTTTTCCTGTAACAAAGACTTATATAAGAAATTAGTGAATAAATTGTACATACTTTGCTTTTCTGTTTTGGTATGTTTATATGTCATTAAGCACGGTTAGATTACATTTTTTAGTTGTTATATTATATATATACACCATCCAGTATATTGCTCCGATAAATACTACTTATCCCAGATATATCCCGGATTTTCGCTATCCGATAAGGATTTGACCATCCGATAAATCCCCGATAACCGATATTTAAAACCTTGATAATAACAGTATTGCAACAACCGCTAGTAATATGTCATAATAACAGTATTGCAACAACCACCAGGTTGTGACTACTTATGTTTAGAAATATAAACAACCCTTCACATTGTGCATCTGTGTATCTATATTCCAAATTTCCATTTCACGTAATGTACCAACATAAAGTATCAACTGATAACTGATGTTATACTCATAATTTTCTTTATATGAGTACTTTGGATTCTCTGTCATGTCTACTAATTAGTGTCCCAAAAAAGCTTTATGGATTTAGGCCAAAAATGTGTATCAATCTATCTCTAAGTTTAACTCTTCTTCTAAGACTTAAGGCTGCAAGGCTTACCATATTAACGCAAAGTATTCGGTTTTCTTCAGCTATCAACAGTTAACATTAAATAGGATAGTCAATACACCAACAAATTCTTAACCTATAAAGGTTTCATGTAAATCTTCTGATATTTTCTCATTTGTTTTGAGCATCATTGAGGTATAAAATGTAGATTGTGTATTGGCTTCTTGTAGAAGTTAATGTTGTGATGAATATGGGCGCATTGCAAAAATTGGATAAGAAAAATGGCCCATTCAAAGATTCATGAGTTAAGAATCTTAAGATAATTAACATACACCTCCAAATTGATTGTTCACTAAACTGAAGCTCAAATACTCATTTGTGGTAAGAAGGAACAAATTGTCTCATTCATTTTAGCTACTAAACCTTATGCAATTATAATAGTTAGTCAACATGCTTTGGAAGATGAGGAAATTTAAGTGCAATGATAAGTGACCATAGCATTCTTGGCATACATCCACACTCAAGTTGACAATACCCAGGTTAGATGACAGAAATCTTTGTTACCTTAACGATAGTCATTGCAGCAGAAATAGGATCTCTTACTCCCAAAATAGTCCAAACTAGTGAATTGTCAGAACCAGCAGGTATAATGCCAATAGGAATTGAAATGGCTTCCCTCTGGTTTTCTCTACTCAGTAAACCATTTAGGACCTGCATCATAGTAAAATATAAAGAAATGACAATTGATTTAAAGATTAGTTGGAAAGGTATCCAAGAATGAGCGTGTGGAAAAAAAATGCGTATGGCATGATGTGGACGAGGTGAGACAGCCCACTGGCCACTAGTCACATCGGATGGGTGGGCCTCACCACCACCTTTATCTCTTGGAGTTTCGTAGCTCATTTAACAAACTGTCAGCTCATAACCATCAAAACATACACACAACGCGCTACGAGATAGGATTAACGAAAATTTAGAGCAAATAATCAGGTAGGAGTGCCCCTTGCAGCAAGGAATGAGATTAAATTAATTAATTGCAGGCAAATCAAGAATCTGAAAACACAAGAATGTTTTACTTTTCAAATCTAAAATATGGCTCAGAAGAGGAAAATATCATGACACCTAAACCCTATTTAATAGTCATTTTACTGTTCATATCTATACCCTATTTATTAGTCATATTACCATACATACACCTGGTCTATTCAGGTCAATGCTCAAAACTTAAAAAGTATTTCGTTATGAGCATCTCATATTAGTAAAAGATATGTATAGTTTCCATTCATTCAGAAGAACTCCGGAGTTTGGATGCTAAATGAAAAAAGGTGTCCTATAGGTGCACTTAAGACATGCATCAAAGAGTTACAACTGAAGTGATAACAATTAGTTGAAGAGAAGGTACAACAGACGAGCTTGCACAGTATATGTTGATTATCAATGATATTGTAAAAATTGACGAGACAAGGGAAGAGACTTAAGTAAGAAAATGGAAAGAATCTCAAGAGCTCATGTTTTTATAATTAGCAGGATAAATTAGAGTATTATGTCCGACCTCATTCACCTGGTGCAAATTCCTGGACATGGCAACTGTAACGAGGAATGAGCAAAACAATTGCTCAACGAAACAATCCCATCATAAAGAGAACTACAATTTGTATGGGGAAAAAGTGAGTCGGTTATGTTATATTCTAGTAGAATATGAATTACCGTCATAAAGAGAACATTCCGACTTACTTTCTGTCATCTGAATTTATCTACAGGGCATGTTCGTGAGGTGCAAAATATCAAGAAAATAGAGTCAAGAAAATAACTGACCTCATTTACAATCCCATCACCACCAACGCATATAATTCCTGCAAATATCATGTTAAATAAGAAGTGAAAGGTGAGCCAACTTAAAGGCAGTAGAAGCTCAATTAGAAAATTTACTGGGAATATTTACCATCAGGACATGTGCTGAAATCAAGAGTAGACGCAAGTTTCCGTGCATGGCCAGCAGATGTAGTTTTGACCACCTCCATTATGAAACCTGCAAGCTGCACATATAACAAAATAAATGTAAAACAGGAGGCATATGGCGATCTCCATTAGAAGTAATTTACATTTCTTGCAAGAAACATCAATGACTATACCATAGAGGATGCACAAGAAATTTAAATCAAATATGCTAAGAAGAATGCATTAGTACGCATGGTAAACTAAAAGAACATGTGGGTAATGCATGAGCAGATCACCTAGCAACTGGTCTCCTAAAGCATTTAAAAACTTCATTTTGGTCAAGTCAGAATCAGAACAGAATATAAAAGGAAGAACAGCCAATCAAGCTGCAGTACTCCACACATTTTCTAAAAGAAAATTAATCTCAGTGAACCAAATGTTTGCCAAATACCTTTTACAAAGTTAAATTTGATCTCATGGAATCTGATACACGAATTTATGATCAAACTATCATAGAAATGTTTCAAACCTTACAAGAGAGAATGCAACAAACACAGATTCCGCGAGCTCGCCGACTAAGCCAGATGACTTCAACTAAACAAGAAGCTCAACAAAATGCTGCATCTTGATCAGCATCCTACTATTATACTAGTATTATTATTTGGAGCATTCCACATGCATACAGATAGGGTTGCCACAGCCTTGAAAAGTTAAATCTGTTTCTAGTCCTATGATTTGTCCTTATTCTTTTGGAGATGACTGCCTCCTCACTTTCAGTGAAGCCTATCAGAGAAAAGATGGACCTCTAAATATGCTGCCATGCATGTTTTTCATGGTCTTGAGCTACTACTTTTCTGCTGATCCCTTGCTAATGACAGACGAGAGCAGCACCCCTTAGAGAACCGAAGGTGCAGAATATATTGTAGCATTTTCCAGATTTTCTTCCTTTACAAATTAGTTGAAATTACTTTGAGGTGCAAGAAGCAGATTCATCTCACCAAGCTGTGATAATTGATGGCTGATGCTTGCAGCAATTAAACCTACTTTAACTTAAACAACCTTTCTTGAAGAAATAGCAAAGCTTATGTAGATGGAAGCCGAGAAGAACAAGAACAGAACTTGTTACAGAACCATGTATCATTTAAACAAGATCTCCCAGTACCTGCAAACAATTGCAAGCTGAGCATAGACACAACCATGTCTTACACAAGCTCCTTTTTATGATAACAAAACTAGGTTATTATCTTTGTTTAATTGTAGACCTTAACAATTAGTTTGTGTACCTTAACTAAAACAAGTGCAGCTGTGCATAGGCACAGCATCTTGATCAGACGATGGGAGAACGGTCTTATACCAGCTCTTTCCATGATCAGGCAGATATCCTTAATTTTGATGAATATCAAGCAGAACATGAACAAAACTTCCTAGAGAAGCATGTAAAAATTTTAACAAGATCTGAAACATGATAACAAGTGCATGTGCATTAGTATAGCATTCTTCATCAGAGCAAGAAGACAATATATCTCATTCAAGCTCAGTTTTATGATGAATATCTCTGTAGTAAGTTTTCCATCTTCTTTTATGTCTGCCATTGTTCATTGCGATAACAGCCCTATAATGCGAGAACAATTATACTCGTAATGTTGCTGAAACATAATTTGCAGAAGTACCATGGACAAAGAACAAGTAAAACTTAGGTAGCTACACAGTTAATGTAATTCTATAAACTGAAAACTCAATAGAATCAATCTAACACGATATCTCGAGATTGAACACACCTCAAAAATTGGCTCCACTTTTCCATGGAAAACCTTAGTAGAACGACCATGTCCAGATCTAGGATTTAGTATCACAAGAACTCTTGGTGGACTTTTACATTTTATTGGTTGTTGATCAAAGAATGGAATGCTTGCAAGTAAGTCAGAGGACTTCTTGGACGAGGCCATGGGATGAGGTAAGCACTTCACGAAACATTGCTGATCCGCAAAACCGCTAACCCACTGAATGGCTTCTTCTAGACTAGAAGCCAAGAAACAAAAATCCTTTTGACTTCTTTGCGGTTTGAAAATACATGGAAGTCGTGATTTCCTGTGGATATATGAGTGCACCGTGAAATGTCGTACACCAGAACTGTAAGATACCTGCAAATTAATTGCATAATTTACCGAATCAAGAAAGGTGATAAGTCCCGTAACAAGCATGGCTTAGATCAACCCTATTTGACTGAGATAGATTGCGGATAATGGCTTAAAATTAGGCAGAGTTCAGCTCAGAGTCAATATAGAAGCATCCCAACAAACATTTCCAATTAATCTATGAAATTAAACTCCAGTATCATTGATAATAGTAGAAAAAACATGTTTGATATATATTAAATGGTAATATTGGTTATTGAAATTTAATTAATGGTTATGCCAATGAATCTAGGGACTCTTAAATATGTACCCCAAAATATC